GAGGGCAAGTCGCACGCAAGCCTGAAAACGGTCAAGGATCGCAAGAGTTTGGACATGGAGTTCGCGGAGATCGACGTGCGCACGAAGAAGCAGCAAGAACACCACAATCGTCACCACCATCGCCATCACCACCACCACCTCCACCACCACCACCATCAGCCGGAGATAATCGTGAAGGGGGTCGAGTATGGGTCGAGAGAGGTCGTGGAAAGCGAGGACGTGGAAAGCAAGGTGGAGATCAGAAGAAGCTCGGCGAGTATGGAGGATATATCGAAGATGGCGAAGCAGGCGGAGAGCGCGATGCTCGGTTCGTTGGAGCCAAAGAAAGCGAGCGAGGAGCGTCCCCACGCGGGCAGTTTGGACTCGATGCTGTACAAGGATTCGTCGAAATCTGGAAAGAAGGCCGCGTGCTCCTCGCCGACTACCGCGTCGAAAAAATCTTCCCCCGGCCTGTTGTCGCGGTTCAAGTCCGGGATGAGCATGGACAGCACGAGGAGCAACAGCAACAGCGACTCGTTGCACGACCAGAGCTCGCAATCCCCGAGCGGTTGGATCTCCTCGTTGACGGCGAGCTTCCGGCCGAAGAGGCAGCAGGTGGCCTCGGAACCGCCACCCTTCTCGTCCTCCCATCCCCCCCGTTCGCCGAGTCGAGAGGAGATCAAGTGATACGGTCTACGATTGGTCGAGGACTCATCCGAGAAACAATTGTCGGGCCTGCACAGGTGGCTGGCCGAGAATATCTTCTGCTGCAGCGGTTGAAACGCGTTTCGTTTCGTGGGCTCGGAACGAGCCAAGTCTCTGTCCCGAACGGTCGGGGAGGAGACGGAGCCAAAGATCGTTGACGAATCGCTGAGAATCGAGAAGAAGATGTGGGGGAGGAGACGCAACGAGCGCGTTGGAAGCGACGGAAGCGCGTCGAGGATCGAAGCGATCTCGCGTCTCTCCCTCGTTGGCCGAAGAAACTCGATTACTGTACTCTCGACTCGATCTCGAGCGTCGGACATTTGTCGAGAGGAAACGGAGATAAATCCGACCAATCTTTTCTCTCCATCGATTCTCGGCCAACGATTGGAAAATCTCCTCTGTGCGACCATCTTCTCTGCGATCGATCTGGATCTGCGTTTACAATTGAAACGCGTCACGGTATGACAAGAGTTGGCCGAATTTTTCGCGTGGAACTCGAAAAGCGATTGGATAATCGCCGGATCGGATCGCGGAGGCAAAGAGGAACATTCGCGCCAACGATCCGACTGTATCCCGTCGCGTCGCCTCACGGATGATTCGGGATGATTATCGTGGAAATTGTGAGAGAAAGGAAGATAGATAGGTTCTCGAACGTTGCGCGAGGATCGATTAAGCGCGATTTAAAGGGGAAAAAATAGTACGTCTTATAGTACGTCTGCGTATAGTAAGTCGATTAGCTGTTTCCAAATGTAGCCAGAGAATGTGTGAGTGTAATTAACGTTCGTATCGAAGCCAAACTGTCGAACAGCTGGCCAATACCAAATATATGTATATTGCTCCTAATTATCGATCTCCGTTCCGAGAGCAGAGTTGAATGAAAGAGCGGGAGAGAGCGAGAGGAGAGACTGTGAATAGGAGTGAAAGAGAGGGAGAGAAAGGTAGAAAAGAAAATATCGCGTACGATGAAATATAATAATTTGTCGAGATCGAGCGGTTCGAACTGGCATAGAGATTGAAACAAAAAATGATATTGAAAAAAAAAAAAAAATCGAAGCGAGGAAGAAACGAAAATGGACGGCCTGAAAGAAGAAGAAGAAGAAGAAGAAGAAGAAGAAGAAAAAGGCGCGCTATATAAACTATTTTATTTATTGTCCAATTAAAAAAAAGAATAGCCTAATGAGTAATCATTAATGTTGTTCGTTATTATATATATATACATAAAATATATGCAAAACGCAATGTATACAAAGATGTGAAAAGAAAAGTATGCGATTCCCATCGAGACATAACGTATATATATATTATAAAAAATACATAAAGAAAAGAATCTCTCTCTCGTACGAAAAAGCAAGTCTACTGTAACGGAAAAAGAGTTCAACGTATATAGATAGTGAAATGAAAAAAATCAAGACGGAATTATGTGTGGCGCGTTGAATTAGAATTAAAAATTTATCCCCCGTTTGAAAAGATAAAATTCCCTCTGTCACGGAAAAAAAAATTAGAAGGAACGGAA